TGCAAGCCTGGGTGACCGGGAAGATGTAGTGCCCTCAAAAGTTCTAAGAAAGGGGAGCAGAGAGGGAACACAGATTTATTAAGCACCTGCTATGCGCTAGACACTGTGCTAAACACTTTGCAGATATTATCTCATTTGATCCTCACACCCCCCACCCCACCCCCCAGGAGGTAGGCGCTATTATTATCCAGCTATTATAATTTGGAGGACAGAAATGTTTTGGGGGAGAGATAACTTCTCTTTTGGATATGTTGAGTTTGCAATGCTTATGGAACATCCAGTACAAAATGTCCAAAAGGCATTTGGTAATGTGAGACTGAAGCTCAGAGGAAAGACTAAGGCTGGAATGAATGAATTTGTATTTATTAAGTGCTTACTATGTGCAAAGCACTGTGTAATGGGGATAAAAATGTAGAAAGTAAGACAGTTGCTGCTCTCACGGAGCTCACAGGAAGGAAACAGTACAGATGGAAGGTTACAGCTACAAATCAGATAAAAAGATCCCATGGTCTGTAATAATGATGATAATAGCTAATATTTATATGGTGCCTACTATGTGCCAGGCACTATACTAAGCATTTTAGAATTGTTATGTCATTTCAGCCTCAGCAGCCCTAGGAGGGAGGTGCTGTTATTATCCCCATTTTACAGTTGAGGAAACAGAGAAAAACAGGTGACATGACTTGCTCAGGGTCACACTGCTAGTTAATATCTGAGGCTGGATTTGAATTCAGGTCTTCCTGACTTCAGGCCCAGCACTCTGTCAGGTGTACCAACTAGCTGCTCTTTAGGACATAGCAACAAATCAGATAATAATATTTCCTTTTCATGGCATTTCTCCTAATAAAATCGTGGTTGTTTCTGAGGTTGAACCTTTTGACAGTGCCAAAGACTTTGTTGGCAAGAACTTTGCTTTCTGGGTCTTCAGTAGCTGTGGCTGTAGCAGCTGTAGGAGCAGTTGCCAGGCTGCATCTCCACAAGGGTTGCTTCCCAGGATGGCAGCTGTGGAGGCTAAGCTGGATGCATTGCTACTCCTAAGGGTCTTGAGTTCTGGGTTTTGGGCTATCTCCATTAGGGTCTGATAATTATCTTCATAGAGATAATAGTTAAACTCATGAGAGCAAAGAAGATCATGAGGTACAGTAGTATGGAGGGAAAAGGAAAAAGGGTCTGGGGCAGAGCTTTAGGAGATGCTCAGGATTAGGGGCATGATCTGAATGAAAATAATGGAGAATGGGGAGCTGTCAGCTAAGCAAACCAGGAGATGTCAAAAAAAAAAGTTAGAAGAGAGTATCTAGGAGGAAAGAGTGATTGATAGTGTTAGTAGGACTGCAACAGTTTTCATTTAGCTTCATATTGTGAAATTTCTTTTTCCAAGTATTATAGATATTCCAATATGTATTTACCATTTTATTTTGTGGGCATCATGATGTTTTAAATAAAATATTCTAAGAACAGTGACTTTGATTGCAGTCTCTGATGTGTGAATTGATTTACTTTGTTTATTGATACTTCAGGCTTTTTTGTATTGCCTTTCACATTGGTGTAGGGAATTGCTAATGAGTAGACTATTTCTCCCCATGCAAGTCAGCAGATGTTTGGCAACATAAAGGTTTATAGAGCTGGAGGGTTAAGTGACTTATACAGAATCTCGCAGACAGTATGTATCATGGGCATAACTTGAACTCAGGTCTTCCAGTTTCTGAGAATAACTCTGTGCATTAGATCATGCTCCCTCTCACCTTAAATTTTTAGACATAAATGTTTCACTAAAACACCCATAAAATAGTGCTCACCACATACTACTAATTATTTTTGTTTTAGTCCATAACACCTTGTCTATCCTTAAAGAAAGTCACACATATTCTTTCCAGTTCAGAGCATTGGGACACTGGGATTTTGACTAATTACAGCATCATGGCTTTCCTCACTTAACTCATATTAGTATTTTCAGCTGGAATGGCAGAAACCATACTAATCATGGTGGAATAGAGACTAGCTGGGCTGTATGTGTCTCTGTGTTGGCCTGTCACTGGGAGGGATATGGATGGGCAAATGGCTAAATGTCTCCAATGACCTAGCAAATTTATAGATGCAAAATAGACTGAAAGTTTGAGAGTGCTTTAAGATCATCTTCGGATTGGGAAACTGAAACATTAATGAGTTTCAAAATGCTTTGAGATCAAATCCTTCGTCTCCAGATTCTAACTTGCAAAAGTAATTTATTTTTAAAAAGTAAATTTAAAAAGATCTTTTGTTGCTTAGATCTTCTTTGTTGCTAGATTCACAACTGTCAAAAGCTATCATTTTCCATATTGCCTTAAAATTTCCTGATGTCTTTGATCTATGTTTTGTATTTTGGTAAGTCACTTAGCCTCCCTGAGCTGAGGTTTCCACATTTGGAAATGGGGATGATAATACTTGCAGTAGTTATTTCCCAGGGTTCGTGTGAGGATCAGATGAGATATTGTATGTAAAGTGCTTTGGAAACCTTAAAGTACTTGATAAATATCTGTTTTTTGTCTCCTGATTATTTGTCAGTGAGATTGCTCAGACTCTGCCTTACCTTTAGTACTTTCTCCTGAATTATAAAGACAGATAACATAAAAAAATGGAGGTCAAGGGAAGGAAAGGCTAGCAAACATCAGAATTGTTGGTCTCCTGTATATTAACTCCCTGACAGATATTTCTAGCCCTCTCCACCACTGAAACCTACAAATATGGATGAGTAGTTTCCTTTGTCAAACACTGTTTGCAAGGGTATTAACTACCTTAAACTGACAATCCATACTTTCATGAAGACAGTTTTAAGTCAAAAACTTGAAAACAGATTTTAACAATTTGATGCCCCACGAATGGGAAAAGATCTGTTTTAGGCAATAATTGTGCAAAATCTTAGCAAGTAGGTGTTAAGAACGTATAACGGCTCTAATTCTGTCACTGACATTCTGGGGACATATTGGATATAGCTAGCCTCTTTATGAAGTTAATTTCCGCTTTTGAAATCTTTGCTACATGATTTAGAGGGATTTGTGTCTTATGAAATGAGATACTACTGATAAAACCTCCTTAGAGAAAAACACAACAGCACATAATGTTGTACCTCTGGCTTTTTTTTTACTCTAGCAGCATTGAATTTGGGCTGCAGAATTTATTGGGGATTCTCCCAACCTTGAGTATGTTTACTGCTCCACAAAACAGATTAAACAGTGTCCTTGTTCTCTTGCTGCTTAGAGCATTCTAAGACACTAGAAAGTTAGGGATACTGAGCAAGCAGCCATTAAGTCCAACAAAGTTACTTTTAGTTGAGTAAAGTCTCATCACAAATTTATGGCCATGGGTCTATTTGCTGAATGAATCATAATTTAGTGAAAATTATAGAAAATTTCATTCCATCAGTTATGGTTGACCAAATATAATCCACTGTGGTACTTTTCTCTCCATAGTTTTTACATTTTGCATTTTCTTTGTATCCCCAGTGCTTAGTACAGTACCTTAGTATAGTGTCTGGCATGTAGTAAGTGCTTAATCAACAGTTATTTACTAACCACCTATGAGCCAGGCACTGTGCTAGGTGGTGGGGCTACAAGTACAAGGAATGAAATGATCCCTACTCATAATGAGTTTACATTCTAATGAATGCTTATTAATTGACTTCTTTTGTTGATGTCCTTTAAAAAAAAAATCTCTAGAATTGCTACCAGTATCCTTCCCTTCTTCTTCCCAGCGAGCCATCCCTTGTAACAAATATTTTTGAAGAAAAAAGAGGAAGCTGAGGGGGAAAAATCAGCAAAATTGATCTTCAGTGAGTCTGAAGAGAAGTCATTGTGTCAGTTTGAAATAACATTGAATTTAATACTAATTATTGAGCAGTTTATTGAGTAAGCCTATAGAGCCACTTTAGTATAGAAGATGTTAAATGGGCTGAAAAAAAGAACTCACTTTTATTTTGCATTGTGTTAGAGATCTAAATTCATATACTTAGACATAAGGCATTATGGTATTGTTAATTATGAGTGTTCAATTGAACTATTTTATCTTTGTTCCAGTAATGACATTCAAATATTGAATTCTTACCCCTTTCTCCATTGATTAGATGCTGATTGTATTCATGTCAATCCTGCATTTTATTTCTCAAACATAGGGAAATGATAATGTCTTAAATTCCAGGTATGTGGGATGGTGATCTACCAGGAAGATTCATGCTTGGAGATTTGATCAGCATTTCCAGCTGTTAGCTCAAATATTAGTTTTAACCTTCTCCCCACACCAATCCCTTCCTCTCAGACAGTAGTACTAAAATATTTTAAAATATTATGCTAAATTGACTTAACCCTTTTATGAGTTTTTTTTTTCTTTTTGTGAGGCAATTGGAGTTAAGTGCCTTGCCCACGGTCACACAGCTATTAAGTGTCGATGTCTGAGGTCGCATTTGAACTCGGCTCCTCCTGACTCCAAGACCAGAGCTCTATCTACTTCGCCACCTAGTTGCCCCTCTTTTATGAGATTTGACAGAGTTTTATTTAATATACTTGGTTTTGTTTACTAATGTGAGCCGTGGTCATTTGTTTATGTTATAGTCATTTAGTAAATATGCCTGTATGGCCTTGCTTAAAGTAAATACTTAATAAATGTTTGTCAAATTGAATGTAGATACTAGGCCTGGGTACAACCAGTGGAACAGCTTACTAGCTTGGAGAGTCAGAAGATCTGGGTTTGGTTCTGTCTGGGCAGGGTATGTGCTCTGGAACTTTGATGAAGTAAGTCTCTTCATCATCATCCCTTTAAAATAGGGACAATCCCACTTACCTTAACTACCTCACAGTTAAGGAATGGATGAATGTACTTAAAAGTGCTTAATAAACTGTGAAATGCTTTAGAGGAGTGAAGTGTGAGGTGTCATCATTATTCTTTCCATGAAACACAAAGCAGTATAATAAATATGCTCAGCTTTCTTTACTGTTCTAGAAAAATTGTACTAACTAGTTGTTTTACCTTAGCAGGACCCAAACGCCAGAAGACAAAAGGTACGGCTAAAGTTGCTACGGTCATGAGTACCGTGGATGTATTGAAAAAAATTGAGGTAAGCTTCAGCTACTTGTTAAGCAGTCTCAATGTTATGCTCTACTAAAGGAGGGTGGGTACTATATTTCTGAAAGAGCTTACTCAACTCCTCCTGTTGTTCAGCACTATCCTTTGATATCACCTATTTGGCAGAAGAAAACAGTTTGCAGAAAATAATGGCAAATCTCTAGGTAAGCCAGTGCATTAGCTGGAAAGTGGCATAATTTGTCTCATCAGTTTCATGCAGAGTTAGACAATTTTGGAGCTGACAGAGACTTTAAGATATTGTCAGGTGTCTTCTCCACAGTTTTCTCAGCCTTCACCATCTTTTCCTTTCTCATTTTCTCTTTTAATACTTTCTTCTCTACCCCTTTGTGTTTTTCCTCTAGAGATTCAATGACTTTCTAACCAGGAATGATAGAAACAAAATAAAGGAATTAGGAGAAAGGAAAGAAGACTAAGTGTATGAAATTTATGCATTTAAGTTTCTATGTTTAAATAACTCTTATTTCCTTTATTGTAGGTATCCTTTTTCTTTGTAATATTTAGTTTCTACTTTCACTCTTTTTTTTCCCCCTTTGTCCCATATAGCATTTTATTTCTACATATCTTTGTTTAGGTACTCAGTGTACCACTGTGAACTTCCTAGAGGTTGTGAGGATTGATGAAGGAACAATAATCAAATATGCCAAGCTTAAATTTGGTGGGATGTTGGATAAGGTTGCAGACATAGCTTATGGTATCAAGCTGTAGCCGGCTTATATTGATTGAAACTGGTTGGGTTCTGGCCAGCTGTGGAGCTCAGCTATAAGGAGACATGCATTCTGAGGAAGATTGATCTGGAGCTCCAAATGTGGCTCATCTTTAGGACAAAGAGTGGCTCTTCATTCATTCAGGTAGAAGGGCTCCTACCAGCTTTAGTCATATTTGACCTGTGAAACCTGAAAAATCCGTCAAAGTTATCAGTTTTAATAGAATACAATTAGAATTCAAATGACCACATCACTATTTCAGGGGGGAAGTAGTTTGGGTCTTTAATATAAAATGTATGTATATTCAGAGGGAAATAACACATTCCAGTCCCAAATAGCATTCAACAGATACATGAATTTTAATCAGTTCTAGGATCTGTGTTCTACTGAAACTGAAAAAATTTGGCTCAGGGGCACTAAGAATTTTCAGTCTTAATTTCCTAGGTTTTAGAAAATGAATCAGACACAATAGGTACAAGACCACATACCAATTAATATAAAAATATGTATTTCATTCCTTTCCTCCTCCTCTACCACTACTGTATTTGGTAATCCTATGTAACAGTTAGTGGTGCTGCTACTGTATTTGATAATTCTATGTAACAGTTTAGTGGTTAAAATTCCAGCTTGATGAAAATATTGTTACTTGCTCAAAATTAGATGAATTTAGCCCCAAGCTTAACCTGAGATGTGTAATTTTGGGGGGGAGAGGGAGGAGGGCAATGTTGCCTCTTTAAAAAAAAAAACATTATTTCTCTTTTGTTCTGATTTTTCTTTCACAACATGACTAATGTGGAAATATGTTTAACATGATTGCATGTGTATAACCTATATCCGATTGCTTACTGTCTTGAGGAGGGAAGGGAGAGGGAAGGGAAGGAGGAAGAAAAATTTGGAACCCAAAATCTTACTAAAAAATGAATGTTGAAAACTATTTTTACATGTAATTGGGAAAAGTAAAATACTATTTTCAAAAAAATTATTTAGTGTTTTTCCCCAATCACATGTAAAAACAATTACCATTCATTTTTAAAATTTTGAGTTCCGACTTCTGTCCCTTCTTCCCCACCTCTGTCATTGAGAAGGCAAGCAATATGATATGGTTATACATGTATAATAATGCAAAACATATTTCCGTGTTAATCACGTTGTTAAAAAAAAAAAAAAGCACAGACCAAACTTCCCCTTTCCCCCTGAAAAAAAAAATGAAAAAAAAAACCAGTATGCTTCTATCGGTATTCAGACTCCATCAGTTCTTTCTCTAGGGATGGATGACATTTTTCATTATAAGTCCTTTCCAGTTGTCTTGTATCATTGTATTACTGAGAATAGCTAAGCTAAGTCATTCACATTTGATTGTCTTACAGTATTGCTGTTACTGTGTACAATATTATCCTGGTTCTACTTATTTTACTTTGTATTAGTTAATAAAGGTCTTTCCAGGTTTTTCTGAGAGCATCTTGCTCATCATTTCTTATAGCACAATAGAATACAATTTGTTCTGCCATTCCCTAATTGATGGGCACCCCCTCAATTTCCAGTTCTTTGCCACCAGAAAAGAGCTGCTGTAAACATTTGTGTACATATAGCTCCTTTTTCTTTCTTTCTTTTTTTTTATCCCTTTTGGAATACAGATCTAGTAGTGGTAGACAATGTTGCCTCTTAAAGGAAAATGAAAAAATACTATTTGACTTGATGTGGAGTCATAAAGAGCTAAAAATTCAAATCTTGCCTTAAACCTGTAAAACCTGTGTGACTCTGGAAAAATCATTTAACCTCAGGCTCAGTTTCCTATTCTGTAAAAATGGCATGATAATGGCACCTAACAGGGTTGTTATGAAGATCAAATGATCTTCATAACATGTAAACATGTAAAGTACTTTGCAAATTTTAAAGTGCTTTAAATGCTCGTTATTAATAAGAAGAAGAAGAATTCTTCCCTCAAAGGATGTAGTTTGAAATCATCCATATCTGTCTATTTTATTCAACTCTTGTACATGTCCTGCAAAAAAATCCTCTGGGGAGGTTCACTTATTTTGTTGGAGGGCTTTCTCCAGTGATCTTGACATTGTGTAGATATCAATAGATTGTACCATTTGCCTATCAGTTATCTCTACTCTTGCTACAGGACTGGCCTCTGTTTTTTCCCCCTAGTTATACATCTCTGATAATATCTTTTATAGGATTTCTGCAGAATTCTTTATTTGAGATGTGTTGAAGCATCTTAATGCACTTATTGAGTGGAAAGCTACATAAGCATTTCATTTATCATTTAAAGTATGTAGATGTTGGCAGGTACTATTTCACAGATTGAAAAACTAGAGGCAGAGAGAATGAGAAATTTATCTAAGGTCACATAGAAGTCATTGTCAGATTCAGTTGAGGGTCCCTAAAAAATCTTTTCCTTTGTTTTTTAGGTTAGCGTCATTGAATCTTTCCTTATAGGGTGAACATTTCAAAAAGATAGATCTTGACTTGTGCTCTGGTATTCAAGGCCATTCAAATATGTTTCCTGTGTCTGTTTCCGGAAAGTTCTGATCAAACTGGAGAGAGATACAAAAGAGCAATTCTGTAATCCACATATAGAGATGCAATTGAACAGAGATGATGTTCTATAATATGGAAGATCTTTGAGTAATATTTTAGGTAGAATTCTGTTAATTGTGAAGAGTGGTCCTTTTTTTTAGTGGAGCCTTGACTTATGCCTTAATTATATTGCCAGTTGCAAAAGTTGTTGAGCTATCTTTCTGGAAATCTGTAAAATTCTAATAATAATGATGATACTAATAATAATTACAGAGTGTATTGTACATGTTACTTAATTTGATGTTTTAACACATTTGCAGAAATTCAAATACATTATTTATGAACTGACTTCAGTTTTAGTGGCTGTGATGAACAACAGTAATTATAATAGTTTATGTTTGTATGCATGTCTCTGCACACGTTGTCTAATTTGCTCCTCACAACCACCATGAATAATCCTTGGGACAGAGATAATACAACTATTTAAATGTGTCAGAGCTGTGATTTGAACCCAGGTCTTTCAACTCCAAACCTAGCATTCTTTCTTCTACTCCATTGTTGGTGACCTTGGTTTGAACAAATGATGGACACCAACCATAGAAATAAAAATGAGGCTCCCCACTTTCCCATTTACTAAATTGGAGATGTGTCTATATGTAATCAAAGTAAACTTCTGCAGATACAAAGCTGGCATAATGATTTAAGTGAGATGTAGAAATATGGCCAGAGTGAAAATTTAGGTGTTGGCTTCCCCTTTTTCTTTTTGAAAGATCTATCATGTAAACCCTCACCTACCAGCATTGCCTCAAATCTCAATATTGTCATTAACATATTTAAAGAAATTGGCATGATGATAAGGACCAAATCTTTCACCCACATGTTACAATACCAATTCTTTTGAAGAAAACTGGAGAGCTGTTACTACAATTGTATTGTCTTATAAATGAGATTGGAGTGGTTGTGGCCAAGCTGTTACTATAAATTGGTTAATGAATCTAACTTATACCAGGACTTGGAAAAGAAAGGTGATGAAGAAAAATCAGATGAAGAAACTGATGAGAAAGAAGGAGGCAAAGGGAAAAGGAAAGATAATGATGATGATGATGATGATGAAGCAGCTGATGAACAAGAAGAGTATGATGAAGAAGAACAGGAAGAGGTACCATTTTTAAATAATGACATAATATATAATAATATGCCCCTTTATGAATAATAACAAGGTTGGAGATAGCAATAATAATGAATGGGCATATGGTTTTTTAAAAACAATTGGTTAACAGGAACCAGGAACCTGGTTATTACCAGTGATATAAAGAACATTGAAATCAATTGGACCATTATGACACTGAAATTATAGGCTTTAGTGAATATAGGCTCAGGAAGAAGTGCTTGATTGGTAAGCAGCTTTATAATAGGTGGATTGGCAGCTCTCACTCTTCTTGTTTAAGGGAGTAGTTTTTTTTTCAGATACAATCATACGAGTTTCTTAAATCAGAAATTTAGGAATAGGTTAAGTTACGAGAGGAAGTAGCCCATAGATTTGATTAGTTGACACAGGCTTGATAGATTCAGACTCAATTTAGGAGGCCTCATGTGCCTGGTAATACAAAAGTCTTATGACTACTTAGTTTGGGGGATAGATTTATGGGGAGCATTCCTGCCTTTGTCCCCAATTTGAATGAATGTGTCAGAGTCTCTAAGAGATATACTGGGGTCCCTTGCCCCTTCCTTTCATCATAGGATCAAATTCTCAACTGATGCTCAGTACCTTAGAAATGGAACTCACTCGGTGACCATTTAATAGGAATTCCTGCAACCACTAGAAGGTCCTTTATATTTACAATAAAACAAAGACTTTGATGTACTTGAGTGACAATAAAGTGAAATGCATTTTTCTTGAGGGGCATGCTACAGTTTCATTCATTGCCATATATACATGCACACAGCAGGGGTGTGCTGGTAAATGTTTAACGACCAGCTCTGGGGTGGGGGGAATTATTCACAACACACTTTTAATTTTAATCTACATTGTTAACATTTTCTTCATCACTTTCTTAAATCTAGACAGTCAACAAAACAATAAATCAAACTCTGATTTGTAGCATTCGCCAGTAACTGAAGTGTAAATGCTTACACTAAAATTTAACAGTTGTTTCTCCTGAGCTTATATAAGCTGGCTGCAGCACTCCCCCATTATATATAAGTCTATGTCTGATTTTGGGCAAGCATCGGTTTATATTTATCCCACTAATAATGCCTTAATAATCTAGCTATATTGAGTGACAATTTGAATTGACTGAACATAGGTTCTGGCCAACCATTAGTGTTATAGGCCCTCTGGATATTTTTAAAAATTTTCCAACTTGTAGAAATTTTTTGAATTTCAGGTGTGGCAGATACTTAGTTCCAAGTCCATAATCTCTATGGCTACCCCCATCTTCAAGATGACTATAGACGCTACCTAGATTCAAGGGATGAGGGGTGATATTTTGCCCTTTTGCTTACCCATTTTTTTGGACTATGAACAACCAAGATTAGAGCTGCTCAGCTCAGGGAGGTGTTACCCCAGGGTTTGAGTTGGGGTCAGTCAAATCAGCCTTAATGTCCCCTATTTCTTGCTGCTTATGACTACTAAGTGTTTCTTCAGAACACCTTTTAGCTTGGTAAATTGGTAGGTGCCCTAGCTTTTACTGGACAAATATTCTTGCAGTCCTGGCCAAAACCAGTGAGATTTGCTTAAAAATTCCTGTTGGTTTCTGGACATGACTAGTTTTTGGAATTCTGCATTTTTAGAGTTGTTCTCTTATTGAGTCATGGCTCAGCCAATGCTAAAAGGCAAATTAGGAGCTCCCCTGCTGAACACAGTAACAGCAGGATTCCGGGCTTCTTCACTACTGGGGTGAACTATGTATCAGTCCTTAGTGGAGTATCAGTCAGTGTGCATACATAGCTGTATTTCGCATTTTTTTCCTACATCCTCCAGTATAATAGGGGGTGAGGTGCCAATTAGGTGAGGTGGGAGGATGAGAGGAGAAGAAATACTTACAAAGACTTGATGAATTTGAAGCAGTTAAAGTTTCTCTTAACATTCTCTGTTTTGTGACATCTCGTCAATGCATGAGAACAAAAGAGGTGTTTTATTTTGAAGGATAAATGAAGGTAATTAACCAAATGAATAATTTGTAGAAATATTGGCATCCCTCAGAAAAAAACATATCCTTGGGGAGAAATCCTATTTCCAAATTTCTTAATGTGGGAACTGAATCACTCAGGGACTAGATGGTTATCTCGGAGAGTTTATTTTAAGAGCTCGTCTGTATTTTTTCAGTTACTCATTTTCTGTTGCAGGTCTTATGTACTAGAAATTTTGCCAGCAGATTTAGTGAATTAATTCTCTAAGGCTAGTGCTCAGGGACATCTCTTGAGCCTGTTATGTGAATAATATTCTCTTTCATCCCTGAAAACTTGCAAGTCCCAAGCCTAACTAAACCTAAAAGAAATTGAGCAGTGGGCTTCATTGTACTGTATTTGAGTTCTGCCCTTCTAGTAAGCTGTTGTTATGGTCAGCTACATCTGTATGCTTCTAATGCAAAAAAGAACCTCTTATGATTGACTAACTGGAGGACTGTGGTTTTCAGATGCACATTTACAGTGCCTAAGGGCACTTTGGCCTCTTGGTGCTAGGAGTTACTCTGAGGTTGTTTAATTGTTTGAGTAGAAGAGTGCTTCATGAGTAATGCCAGGCTAGATGAATCAAAAAGTGAAATTAAAATTGTCCAGAAAAATATTAACAATCTCAGATATGCAGATGATACCACTGATGGCAGAAAGTGAAGAAGAATTAAGAAGCCTCTTGAAACGGGTGAAAGAAATCAGTGTAAATGCTGGCTTTTGAAGCTTAACATCAAAAAAACTAAGATCCTGGCAATTGGTACCATCACTTCCTGGCTAATAGAGGGAAAAGAAATGGAAACAGTGTCAAATTTTATGTTCTTGGGCTCAAAGATCACTGCAGCCATGAAATTAAAAGACACTTGGTCCTTGGAAGGAAAGCTATAGCAAATCTGAACAAGAGACTTCACCCTGCTGATACATGTCTGTATAATCAAAGCTATGGTTTTTCCAGTAGCAATGTATGGCTGTGAGAGTTGAATTATAACAAAAGCTGAGGCTTCAGGGGTCAACGCTTTTGAATTGTCATGCTGGAGAAGACTTTTGAGAGTCTTTGCTTGGACAGCAAAGATGTCAAATCAGTCAATACTTAAAGAAATTAGGCAAAAGGAAAGGGGGACAGCAGAGGATGAGATGGATAGATAGTATCAAGGAGACAACAAACTTAAACTTGGACAAACTGCAAAAGATAGTGGAGGATAGAAAGGCCTGATTCTGTGGTCTATGAGGTCAAGAAAAGCTGGATACAACAACAACAACAAAATGCAATGATTCACCTTAGAACCGAGCTTTAAGATCTCCTCTAATTAACAATATTTATGTTGACAGAATCATTGTATCTTAGGACTGGAAAGGATTTTAAAAGATATTTAGACTAAGGTCAGGTTCCCTCCCTCCTTACTTCCTTTTATAGATGAGAGGTTGACTCTTATCTATGGAGCAATGGGAATTGGAGGTCTTTATTTGGAAGAGAAGGAAAAAAAACTGTGAGTGGAGTCAATGAAGCCTTTTTTAAAGCAAACAAAAAAATTGTGAGGTCTTTCCCCATCCTACTATTTTTTTGTTTTAGGGCTGATACTATTTCTGATTTGGTAATTTGGAATTTTTTTTCCCACTTAAGTAGAAGAACAGATTAAGAGAGTAACTTAATCTTCTAATTATGGTTTTTTTCCCCACTGGGGAATTAATAATCAATTTATTAATTAGGCTAGCTGATAATCAATAAATTGATGGTCAGTGGTCTGTCTCAGTAACCAAAGATGTCTAATTATGTTTCAATGTTGCTATTTTCCCATTATTTAGGAAAATGATTACATCAATTCTTACTTTGACAACGGAGATGATTTTGGTGCAGAAAGTGATGACAACATGGACGAAGCAACATATTAGTGATAATTATTCAGATTATTTTTGTTTATTATATGGCCTCTGAATACTTAAGCAAACTTATTACCTCTTTTGTTTCTGATGAGAAATGAGTAAGTATTGTATTCTTGTTCACTATCCTGTGAGCATTTATTACTTAAAAATTCCAAAGTCGCTTTGAGTTTACAGATTTGTTACAGTTTACATGTTTGTTTGCAGGGTTTTCCTGTAAATGCCTTTGCCTCAACCATATTCAAATGAATTTTGCAATTACTATTTTGATTTAAATGTGCCTAAAACATACAAATTAATACTTGAACCAAGCTGCTCTTGTTTTTAACTGCTGATCTTTTGAAGATTTTATTAGTCTTCATAATGGATTTCTTTATCCTGGAAACTGATCTTACATTGCACATGGAGCACTTTGAAAACAAAGAAACTTGAAAGTAGTTGGTATTTTTTGACCTTTCTGCATTTAGACTGATGACTTTGTACCCTTCAGGACATCTTCCGAGTTAGTTTTAAAGTTAGAGTGAATTTTGTACGAAGAAGCAAGTGAAAGATTGAATTTTTAAAATTCCCAACCTCAGTCAGTAGAAGGTGGCTTTCAGATGAAATGAAAGAACCCTGAATGACATAAAGATACCAGGGAACTGCTTTCTGCATGATACTGCTGGAGATGTTGGGGTCTAATAGTCATTTTATAATTCTCATCCATGAACACTTGGATTTGGGAAGCGGGGAGATCAGGTTATTTTAAAAAAGAATATTTAGTATTATAATATGTAGGAATATGAGAGGGTAACTCCATAAGCTTTATTCATATATAATAATGTACCCCAGTGTGGATGGGTAAAGCCCCATGCAAGTGTTTATTCTTTGAGGTAGAGTAAGGTCTCTTGAGTACTGTGTAGAGTATAGAAGCTATAGAATTAATTCTGTTTGTTTACATAATGATATTGAATAAAGCTCAGGATATCTTGAAAATAAAACTTAACTTTTTTTAGTAGAATAGCAAAAGCTACCCCTTCTGCCTTTTTTTTTAAACCAAGTTTTATGGAAATTTCTTTGAAACCTCCAGAATCTGAAGATGTTATTGTCCTCTGAGGACAGTAATATCCTGTTTAGTGATGGTTTTCACACCTTCAGAATAATCTGTGAAAACTATCATTGGACAGATAAAAAAGGGGTTTTAAAAAGGCTGTCTCTCTGACCAGATTCGGTAACACCTCAAGTCTATTTTTAAAAGTCTGTTGTAGAAATCTTCTCCACTCACAACTATACTCATTCTTGGGAATACTAAGTCGGAGTCCAACTATAGCTTTTGAAAATTGAGGCCTTCATTCCCAAAGACTATGGTCTTTCTCTTTAAAAATAGAGACAAAAAAACCTGGGTCTTCTCTCCTCCTCTGCCCCCATCCACCACTCCCCATCCCTGTCATTATTACGCAAGAACACTGACTAGTCTAGGAGTCTGAAGACCTGAGTTCCAGTTCTACCTGAACTATTTTTGATCCACTCAGATGTACTGGGTAGTTCAGTTAAATTTTTTTCTGCGTTGGTATGTGCATTCATAAAATAGGAAAAAATTCCTAAGAATCAATCAATCAATTAACAAACATGTATTAAGTGCCTGCTTTGTACCAGGTGCTGATCACACTAAGACAAAATTTTCCTGCCCTCAAAAAGCTCACATTCTATATGCAAGGTTCCACTCAAGTCATAGGATCATAGAGCTGGAAAGGAATTTGAAGGCCATGCATCTAGTTCACTCCCCTCATTTTACAGATAAGGAAATTCAGTCCCAGGGAACTGAGTGACTTTGCCCAAGGTCCCCATGAGTTGTAAGCAAAGGAGATGGGATTTGAATTGAAGTCCTTTGACCCTAGAACTCTCATTCCACTGCACAAAGTATCTTTTAGAGATCTTTTTTTAAATCACAGTTTTATAACCTCTACTAATAAAAGTAGAATCCTGTAGGAAATAAATCTTTTTCTTTTTCTGTGTTTTAAAGGTGAAATGATGTCTTTGAAAAAAATGGGATATTTTCTTCCTTGCAAATACAATGTGTTTTGATTCTAAGATTTTCCCTTTTTTCTGATTGAGAAAATTTAGAGACAAGTCTCCCTGCATTTTTCTGAGGACTTAGAAATCACTTCCTCAGGAAGTAGAATGCTAGTTACCCCTGGGTAGTATCTTTTGATGTGGAAATGATGACCATTGTTAATAAAAAAATGTGATTATCAGCTAATTCCTTCAAGTTTAAAGGATTTTATGGAAATGGAAAATAATTATTTCAAATTCAAATCACCCTTTTTTTTTCTGTGTGGAAAGTCTTTCTGATAGCTGTGACTCTCTGCTTTTGAAATTGGACCATTCCTGTAAAGCCATTAAACCTTGTTTTTAAGGCCTGAGTTAAAACTATGTGATGATTGAAGAAACTGGGGATGTTTAACCTAGAGAAAAGTGAGCCTTGGAAGGGCTGTCCCTCTAAGAGAGATTAGACTTGTTCTTGGCCCCAGGTGGCAGAGGAGCAGTAAGTAATTAGAAGATCTTACTAATGGTTTGCACTATCCAAAAAAAAAAATTGACGGTCTCCAAAGAACAGATTGTTCCAACTAGAGGTCCTCTAGAAGAGACTGGATGACCACTTGCATGGTCTGTTGTAAAGGGGAGATTTGTTCAGTTCTCGGTTGGGTTAGACAGTTTCTGAGGTCCCTTCCAACTCTGAGATTCTGTGATTTCTAATAGAAAGGGATAGAGACTTAAGTTGTGATTTCATTAGTGTAAGGAATTGCTGGGCGAAGAAATTCCTAGTTTTAGTTGCCTAGAGCACTGAGAGGTTTAAGTGATGTGTCCTGGGTCACAATGACATTATTATATGTCCTGCTCTGTACACTTAGTAGTGAGTAGATGGTTGTCGTTAATTCGTTTTTCAGTCATGTCCAACTCTTCTTAACTCCATTTGGGGTTTTCATGGCAGCGATAGTGAAGTGGTTTGCCATTTCCTTCTCCAGTTCATTTTTACAGATGAGGAGACTGATGCCAACAGGGTTAGGTGATTTGCTCAGGGTCACACAGCTAGGAAGTGTCTGAGGCTGGATTTGAATTTGGGAAGATGAGTCTTCCTGACTTTAGGCCTGGCATGCTATCTGCTTTGCCACCTAGCTGGCTTATAGTGAGTAGAATATACAATTAAATCTTCTTCCTAGATGGATAAGATATGTAGACCAACAAATATTTTTTTTGTTGTTGTTGCTCCAAGATTCTTTGTAGTAAAATATTGTTTAATGTCTAGAAAACTATTATGTATGTAATTAAAAAAATTAGTTGCTATATTGAAGCCCTTCAGGTACCTACTGGCCTGGCACAAGTAAGCCTTTGAATTGGATATCACTTTCCTAACTCTCTTTCTTCCTGCTTTAACCCTTTAGATGATCAAGTTAACTTTATGATCAAGGAATTACTTAGGAATAACTTCAATATATTACTCTTCTGCCTTTCCCCAGTGAAAAAAAATTTTTTTTTAAATTTGGACCAGCAAATTCACTTGTATAGGGAACCTCCCTATGAAGAAACCCTCCATAATATGCAGATGAGCAACCATTCTGCAATTGATAGCACATATTGAGAGATGGGAAGTGAAGCCTGTTCTTCCTCATTCTTGAGATTGGGTCTGCCAACTATTCTGTGTTGCCACTTTTCTTATTAACTCCTCATGTAGGTTACTAACATAAGAAAAGGAGGCAGCAAAGCATTTTCAGCTACGTGGGTGCTTTATTATTACTGCTTTTGGTTTTCTAGTTTGAGTAAAATAACTTTGTTTAAGAGAATATAAAATCATTTCTAATTGAAAGATTATAAAATTGGTTTAATGATAGTCTTCATTTGGAAAAAAACTTTAAAAGGTTAAATTTACTCTTGCTATAAATGCTCATTTTTACAAATTGAGGAAATTCTTGCAATTTTTTTGCCTAAAAATTAAATTTTCTTAGAAGCAAAATGACTGAATGCTTTATCCACACTGAAATGGTTACTGTATTTTTGGAAGGAAAAAAATAAATGTACTCAGTGTAATAGAATGGTTCTTACGGATTTAGATCTTTATAGAGCAGAACCAGTATTTATTAATAACAGCTCCTGTTTTTATAGTGATTTAAGGTTTATAAGTCACCTTCATTATATCTCATTTGATGATCCTCACAATAACCCTGTGAGGTAGGTGCTATTATCTCCCTTTTACATATGAGGAAACCAGATCTTAGAAAGATTAAGTGAAGTGCCCAGGTTGGATGACTAATATAAGTGTCTGAGGCAGGATTTGAACCCCAACTTTCTAATTCTCTAGCCCCTTCTCTCTAATAATTATTCATATGGTATTTAAGGCTTTGAACAGGACCTTTACATGCAGTGACTTATTTGATCCTCAATATATCTTTGTGAGGTCAGCAGGGCAAGGATTATTTTCATTTTGCAGGATAGAGCTTTAGCGCTCAGAGAGGTTAAATCATTTCCCCAAGGCCACATGGCTAATAACTGGTGGAACAGCCAGTCTCCTGACTCATCCTATGTGCTTTCTTATGTTTTGTTGTGTGTGTGTGTGTGTGTTTTTTCAATAATTTTCTAGTCCTCTCATCAAAACCTGTTTTGAGTAGGACTTTTGCCACTGTACTAATCCGTTAATATACGTTGTAAAGAGATGCAAAAATTGAACTTTAAAAAAAAAAGAATGAATTAAAGATGAAATAAACTATTTAAAAATAATTTGTAAAAATGTTATTTAAAGTCAAATGAAATCAACAAGCATTTATTCAGTATCCATGATGTGTTGGGAATACAAAAAAGGGCAAAAAAAACAGTCTCTGTTTTCTAGGAGCTCAAGATCAAATGGGGAGAGACAACATGCAGACAGCAATGTATAAACAAACTATACAGGATAGATTGGAGACAAGCTGAGAGGGAAAGCATTAGGAATAAGGGTGATATAAAAGGTTTGCAGAGGGTGGAATTTTATCTGAGACTTGAAGGAAGTAGGAGGCAGAAGTGAGGAAGGAGAGAATTCAGGCATGGGGAACAGCCATTGAAAATGTGTGGAGTCAGAAGATGGAGCATCATTGGCAAGGAGGCCAGTGTCACTGACTGTAGAGTCCAGAGGGCTGAGTAAGGTATAAGAAGACTGGAAAAGTAGGAAGGTGACAGATTATGAAGGGCTTTGAAAAGCCGGAAAATAGCAAAGTCACAAAAATGATTCATATCATTTCCTAGTGAGAACAATAGGATTCATTATTTTTGAAAATCTTAAGTTATTTTTTTTTTCAGGACCTAAGTTTTAATGGCTTTATAACTGGAGAAGATACCTCACACTGAAGTGTAAGATCAAAAGGAAAGGACTAAATCATGGTCTTCATTTTTCAATACCATCCATTAATTATTCAAAGATTTTTATTGACATCTAACTAGTCAGTTTCCACTTTTCCTTTAGAAGGCTTGAGCAAGGGTTTTAGCGGGTAAGACTGGTCTTTGGGCGTCAGGTCTCATGGCCAGAGGGGGTGGCAGAGAAGGGATTTGAGAAGGGAGCAGTTGAAAGTAAATGATGACAAGATGCCAGGATAGGTTCTGGCTTGCTAGTGGTGAATGGTCTTTATTTGCTTCCATTCTGACCAGAGGATTCAGATAGGGTAGATATTAGGAGCAGGATTTTAGATTTGAGAGAGTTATATGATTGATTGGCTAAGCCACCCTTTGCATCCAACTAGCTGCTGCAACTTGCCTCAAGTCAGAAGATAAGAGCCCTACTTTGTTTTTCTGGGAGCAAGGAGAAAAGGGTGGGGAGGAATAAGCAAAGAGTTTGTACTGCTGTTGCTCTGGAGATGGGGAAGGGGGAAAACCAAGGGTGTGCAGGAGGGGGACAGGTGTGTGATTACTACCTGTCTTGGGAACAGAGTCTGTAGACACAGGTAGCAGCTACAACGCAGAACATCTACGTTGTCCTCCTTAAACCTATTTTCTTTCTGCGTACCAATAGATTGTCATATATACCCCCACTTTGAAGACCACTGATGTAGGGGATACTTTGGTGAAGGGCATGTCTGGGTAGCAATTTATATATATTAAATTTTGAAAGGAAGATTTAATAATTCCTTTTAGATATACTAATGAATGTATGTTGTGTTGTATATGATAGTCTCTTAAAATACAAGAAATGTCCTTCAAGATATAAAATATATAAGAATACAAAAATGGCACATTTATATTACTATAATTTTTATAATTGTGTATTTTATAATTTTACATATTATATATTTATAATCTTATAATTAATTTTTTATTGTAAATATTAAATAAGAAACTTACCAAAGTGAATTCTGGTCTTCAGAATCAATTATCAGTCACACCAATTCTTATTAGAAAGGCAGAAGAAAAAAAAATGTAAGAGAGATAGATATTCTTGCCAGGGAGAAGTGAAGAAATCTAATGTGCTTTGAATGATTACTATCCAAAAAATTTTAAATAAAATTTTTAATTCTTTTTACAAGTGTGGTTTTTTTTTAAGCTTTTTCCCCCCTTATCTCTGCACCAAGTCCCTACCCCATCATTTTCACTGGAGTCAGTATCTGTCAGTGTTGAAGCCCATAGTGAAAAGGAACTGGAGAACAAATGAGACAGGAAAGAGAATAAAGATATTAATGATGCAAGGAAAAGGACTGTCTATCCAAAGAACAGGATCGGGATCTAATTGTCTAGAACAGGGCTTCTAAACTTTTTTTTTTTTTTGGTCATGAACCTCTGTGACAGTCTGATGAAGTCTATGAACCCCTTTTCAAAATATTTTTAAGTGTATGAAATAAAATTCAGGGGATTACAAAGGAAACCAATTATGATGAACTATAGTGATCAAAATGTTAAAAGAAAAAAAAAACAAGTTCACAAGTCTAACCTGGACCCCAGGTTAAGAACCTTTGCCATATAGTAGACTGACTTAGATTCCTGACAAAATTCTAGAATTTTTATGAAAAAGATAATTAATTCAAGAAAAGGAATTGGAGATCACAGAGAACCTGGGCTTCAAGAACAAATTATTCCAGATATTCCATATCCTTTTTTTTTTTTTTTTTACAATTATCAGGCTGGTAAACCAGGGGAATGGCTATGGGTGACATAGTTTGCCTAGATTTTAGGAAAGTATTTGACAGTCTCCCATTCTCTGTGGGTCTAGTCATGTCCAGTTGGGGAGGTTTGCACCTGGCTAAATAACTGGACTCATATAGTTAATACTATTGTGAGATTGTAGATCAGAAGATCATGGGGCTAGGAATAGAAGGCAATTCAGTAGCCATCTAGTCCTACCTCTTATTTTGTAGATAATCAAATTGAAGCCCAGAGGGGTTGTGATTTAGCCAACAACACATAAGTAGTAAATGGCAGAGATGATCCAGGACCTCCTAAATATAGAACAATGCCCTCGAAGTCTTTATAGCAAGTTTAATATTTTTTTTTCTGGCCATATGTTTCCTCATTGTTAAATAAGGCAAACAGTGTTTCACCAGCATACAGTACTTGTTTACATACTTATTTATAGAGGATAAAGACTATGTTAGCAAACATTTATTAAACAGCTACTTTGTACTAGGCACTGAACTAAAGTGCTGGGGGAGATACATAGAAAGCCAAAAAGAGTCCCTAGGGCCCTTGAAAAGCTCACATTCTGATGGGGGAAGACCATACATTAAAAACAAGCTGAAAAGGGGGTGGGGCATAATGAAGTCCTACAGCTAGGTGGGAAATGAAAAGATGATGGCCCTGTACACCCTCTGTAAATGGAGGATCTGAGAGGAGCTTTCCCATGTCCACCCTCCACCCTCTCCCCCGAGCAGGGAGTAAAATTAAATGTTACAGTCCACTGAATTTGGAGTAGTGAAACTAATTCTAAATCTATGAACTTATTAATCAATTCAGCAGGCATTTATTTTAAGTGCCTACTATGTAGCAGATACTCTGCTAAGTCACTGGGTATACAAAGACAAACCTGGAACGTTCTCTGTCTTCAAGAGCTTACATCACACAGTGGTTAGTATGTTTCTAATTACTGGTACTAGAATTATTACTCAAACTCAAACATTGACTCACCTTTAAAAGTTATGTAAAATAAGTCATGACTTAGCATTAATGAAAAATTCATGGTTTTATTTTAAAATAATTTTAAATCAGATATTGTCATTTATGTATGACTAATACAAATCTTAAATGTAGTGATATCCAAAAATCTCAAAACTTCTCATAATTTTTCAGATGGGAAAATTGAAGATCATGTTAATGGTAAGATAGCCTCATGTTATGCAGCTTTATTTTTTAAATAACATTTTAAAATCTATTCTTAATTAAGAGACTTATGCTTTTCTGATTAGTCAAAGAAAAAATTTTCTAGATTGAATTAGCACCTCAAACAATAACAGAATTGTCTTTATGACACTTCTGATTTTTTTTTGTTTGTTTTTTGGTATATAAGAAGCAACTATCAAGTTTGGGGTACCATACTGAGAAGAATATATTTTGATTGAACAAGACAGAGCAGTGATTTTTGGACATTCAAGTTATCTCAAAAGATATCACTAAAATTCTCAAAAATATTTTAATCCACCTACTCCCTCCAACTCCAGAAGCAGTTTACATGTAAATATGTCCCAAACAACATTCTTTAGCAGGAAGGAAGATATCATAAAATCAAATTTGAAAAGAGTTATAGCAATTTCCAAAAAGTTGGGAATGTCTCATGATTTATCTGTATGGTGCTACATGTAAGTGGAAGCATAATTCTTTTAGTTCTAAAGTATTCAAAGAAAAAAATAAAAAAATTTCTGATATTATTAACCTACCACCACCACCCCACCATAAAAAGGTGGGGGGGGGGGGGAATGGAGAGAAATCCAGTAGCTACCAATCCATACATCTACTTTCCCATGTTTATAAAAATGTTTGAGAAGTATCTAGACATATCAAGGACTTACTTGTAAGGACATTTGAATGGAACAGGAAAGATTTTGCCAACCATGTTATACAGTAGACCACATCTTTGCTGTTATATAATTGAGTGAGAATTGGAGTTGGTGTAAGATAGAAGTGTCTCTCAAGGCATTTTATAAGATTCCTTGAAAGATATGAAGCAACCTTGTGATCATTAATATTGTGAGGCATAAAACAGGGATGTATATTCACCCATCAGCTCTTCACCATTGTCAGGGGTCAGCTCATGCGCCAAGCTGAACAGGCACTCCCTAGTGGTGGTATGGCCCTCCGGATGAGTGCAGAAGAAATTGTTGATTGCATCAAGCCCAGGAACACTACAGAGGCTCTGAAATAAGATTCATAATCACTGAGTTTGGTATGAACTCCCACTGAAGAAAAACTGAGTAAATGATGAATGTTTACTGTACACTTCTAGTTTATCCATGTCCACCAAAAACAAAGGCACATTTTTTAAAAAACCAACATTCTTCAGGTTTTTATATATTGCTACAAATCAGGGGACACTATAGTCTCTAGAATTGAAATTGAAGATTGGTCAAAGGGCAGTGCAGAAGCATACAGTGTGAGCAGACTGTATTACAAAAAAGTGATTGCAAAAATTATGTTCCCACTGTATGTTAAACACTGTTAGGTGGAGCTTGTTCTATTGGAAGGAGCTGTGAGAAAGAAGTCATCAAAGAAATGTACGAGCAAAAAATGGGCTAATCATGCACTGAGAGGTCAACAGAAATCAATGAAGCCCCCCCCAGGATGTTGGGTAGTCCCTACAAAGGGTATAGGCAAGTCATACAGGACAGGTGGGCATGGATAGATACGCTCTGTATCATTGGAGGGAATACATAAACTCAGAATCACTGGTGTATTGGAGTTGGGAGAAAAAAAAACGCCAAAGGCATTTTGTTTACCAAAATTATTTTGGCATTGACTATGTATGACTACATAGGGCTTAAAAATATATTTTTTGACATCATATGACACTGCTGGTCAAAAAGTGATGAAATATGAAGACATTGAGCAACTTCATCTTGCCCAAAGTATCATCATACTAAAGTCAGTATCTCAGTGGAACTTAAAAGGCTGTGTGATACTAATTATTTAATCAGAGGTCGAGTTCATGTTCTGGCCTTTGCTACTTAATGCTTGCACAATGTTGGCAAGTCACTTTTTCTTTGGTTTAATGTAAAGTAAGTCAAAATGACCTCCTAACAAATCCTTTCCAAGTGAAAATTTAGCAGTCAGTTGTCTCCCTGCAGCAGTGCACCCAGAGAAGAATTATAGCTATCCAGGTTCTATATGCTCGTTTCTGGTTCAATTTATTTCCTACAAACGATACAATGTTTATGTTTAATAACTCACTTTAAACAAAATATATCTGAATTGGTTTGCTTCTCAAACTCTTGCTTGAATCTAACAAAAATGGTTTATCAATTCAAGTATATAACTTAGAACTACTGTTTGAATATGGAGAGTAGAGAGTTTGGTTTTCTTCAATTAAATTCACCAGCTTTCATTTTAGATTGGATAATAAAATAAAAACTTTATTATGTTTTACACTTAGACATCTGAAGATATGAAAAGTTTAAGTGGCAAAAATTTTAAAGCCACCATTTTAAAGACATGCTAACACATAGTTCTATAATTATTACATCTTGCATTTATATAAAAAATATTTTATAAGAGATTTACAGCATTAGTGTGCATAAAAATACTTAAATAAAGCATTCAGGTATTTCTGTTTATGATCTAACAGTGCAATATGCACATACTTGGAAGAAAAATACTGATTTCCTGAGCAAGTGTTCTAAGTCAAAACATAAAGCATGATTCTTAGCATAGTGCACCATTTAAATACATTTTCTTGAACTCTTGGCACTCTTTAACATTTATTTGTACTGTATTCTTTTTTCATTATATTTGCAAAATTCTCATTATATTTGCTTTATCTTATTTCCCAGTTAAATTTCTTTCCAATTCCCAATTACAAAGGTTCCAACTTTCAGAAGTATCAGTAAAATGACTAAATCATTGTTTAGTGAGTCATTTAAATAACTCCACAGTCTGCCTTATCAAGCAGATTCTAAAAACAAGTTTCCTAGAGAAATTAAATATTCAAAATAAATTTATCTTATTCATATGGAAGGCAGAGACTTTGTAATTTACTAATACATTATCTAAGAAAATACATGTTTTTTAAAAAAAATGAGGCCCATGTCTTACCTTGGAGGTGTTAAAATTGCAATAACATCTTTGAACACACAAAATATTTTTATTTATAACCAAACATTTCCAAGGGAAACAAGATTATTTTTCCAATTATATCTTTGCCAGTTTGACACATGCTAATATAAAGTATACCAGTTAAATCTAAACACTTATCAGGATAAGACTCCAATAAACATTTAACCTTAAAGCCCATTTCCAAAGTCTACAATTAGAAAAAAAAATGTCCTCAAGAAAATTACATAAAGCAACTTTCATATAGCACTGTCATGGTGCTCATCAGCACATTAACAAACTGAAATTTTATTTTTATAATGATTATTAACTACTAAAATTGTACTTCTTTGCTAAGTTTAACCATATTCTCTCTTGGATGTTGCATTTAAAGATTAGAATTTCTGATTCCAGAACCATATAACAGGTAAATAAAGGGAACTGCTCAGTCCAGCAATCCAGAGGATATATTTTACATTCACGTTTATTACCAAAAGTGACATTCTATAGGGCAAAAGTGGTTCCTATATCTAGGCAGGTTTTAAAATAAAAGCAATATACTTTTATTAACCTATTTACTTTATTTTACTTTTTAGACCACTGTTATAATTTCAAAGTAGCACCAGTAGAAGGCAGTCATTGATATCCTTTAGCTCACCAATCTGAATTACACTATAAAGTCTTCACATAATTGAGTTTTACTATTTGTAACTTTTACTCCCCTCAAAACTTACAATTTTTCAGTAGGCTTACTAAAAAGCATTGTAATATAAGCTAAAGTTAACACTAATGATTAGAAAAAGACAGCATTCCTCTCTGCAATACAGCAAAGAAAATTAAGTTTTTTTTGAGAAAGGATGTTCACACATAATTAGGTGTCTTCATGAATGCTGCTCATTTCTCAGGCTGTTTTTATATGAATGAGTAGATGGATGTATTTACTAGTAACACTTTCTGGTAAATATCTAATATATGAAAGAGCTCAGTGTTGTTTTCTTTTCATCCTTATGATGCTTTGCTTCTAAAAGAACAGGACTCTCTTATAGGTCTAGGTTACTCATCTGCCACACTATTCACTGGATAGGGCTTAGATACAAAATGATTGTTTCTCAAGCTCAAACATCAGACACTAGGAAATAATGCCAGTAAAATAAGGCAGTATCATATACCTAAAACACACAAAAAATTTTAATTACACATTTAAGACAAGTCAGATTCCATTAAGCCTATCTTCTATGGCAGCACCACTTTTGTTTTTTTTATAAACAGAATGAGTCAGTAGGCAAATGCTTGTTTAGCCAGATTTACTATGAACTTAAGGCATGACAGGTACCCTGACCTGATCACCCTCAGAAGAGAGAGATATTTTCACACAGCCCTAGCAAAAGATCCCTTGCTAATTCATCTCCTTTAGTCTTCATAATATACTGTAATTTAGAAAGAAAACAATTCTGTGTCACTCACTTTCTACTTTAGATGATCACCCCCATGGAAGACAGCAAGGGTAAGGGATCAAGAAAGGAGCTGTACCTATTTTGCCTACCAATGCAAATGACCCTGTTTATAATTTTTTCTTAATAAACCATTTTTGGCAATTCACATTAGATGAAAAAGACAACAGACACATCTGTGTTGCCCATTAGATTGTGCTTGATTAACTGAAAGCTAAGATCAGTTACAGTAACTACACATACATCACAGGCATTAATTCTATTGAAAGGGAAGTCGAGGACAACGAAGTATAAGTTTGATTCTAAAAAGTATATCAACTCTCATAGTAACATTAACATTTAATTAAGGCGTTCAATTTAATTAAGGCATGTTGTTGCATGTACAGAACTGCAACGGTTCATCATAGGGTATTAAGAATTTTTCCCAAATAATGCATGTGTATAGCACATTTCTTCAAAGAACTAAAAAAGTATAGAAGTCCAAGTATACTTATTTTACTGCAGACAAAACAAAACATAGGCATAATAGCTAAAAGACATGTCCAAAAAATTGAGAAACAGATTAAACACTTCATATCCTTTGATTCACTTCTATATTCTAATTATTCAGTGATGCCACTTTTCTATATAATTCCCAGAGGTTATAATATGAATTTGAAAGTCCTAGCTCCTCTTGCCAAAATTATACCTTCCTTTCTGATTTTGTTACTTTTGATTTGACTTTTTGTTTTGTGCCATATTATATGTGATATAAAAATCAATCAACAGATTGAAATGGGTAGCATCATGTACACAATGTGCTATCACAAATACTTTTAGAATCAAACAATTGTTTCTCAACCAAACATTTTGAGCTAAGAGATAATGTTTATCTGGTAGTAATAAATGGATTTTCTTCAGGTGCATACATCTAGTGCTACCATTCATATTGCTTAATAACTTTAACATCAATGCCTTAAACAAAAAAAAATTACTTAAAAAAATAAACTTCAAGGCTATGTTTAAATAAATGGGTGCAAAACTTTCTACAGAAAACTTTCTATGTGTACTATTCACTTCTGCAGTGCCACAACAGAAACTTTGACTTAAACCATTCAAAACATAGAACAGGTAGTAAGCCTAAGGTTCATACAGAATTGACTTGCAAATGGCTCAAAACAAAAAAGTATCTGGAAGAAATAAAAGCATTTTCAATAAACCAAAATACTGCCCATGAGTGGTAAATAAAGAATATAAATGATTCTCTGCATTCCAGATACATTTATAGTTATAAATATTATAATCTAAAACTGAGTGTTATGTTATATGCTGTGTAGAAGGTGACTGAGAATTCTGTTTATGAAGTTTATAATCATCTTGGTGTCCCACATTTGGTCCTTTTGTTGGAATTATTCCATTCTCTATTTCTCTCTGTTGTGATGGAACGGTGACTCCTGAATGCAGCTGTGAGGAGTCCACTGTGGAATGATGACTAACATCTACTTTAACTAAAACTTCATAATACAGTAAGTAAAATACTGGCGTTATTATGCCTACTATCAACATGATCACCACAGCCGTCCACCAGCCTATTCCCCAGTCTGCTCCGTAATAGGGATCCTTACGTCTAATGCTTTTATTCTCAGGTTCAAAACACAGTTGTTCTTGTTTTGCTAAGGCGGAAACCACTTCATTGAGGTTCTCTCTCTTTGTGTCTGTACATTTTACTATTTGTTCTATGTCTTTGTCCACTTCTTTTAAGAAATTCCCAGCAGTCTCGTTCGAAACCAGAAGATCTGAATTAGGAAATATCTCTTGTAGTTCTGGAGTACACTGGGCAGCTGAAGGACGTGAAGTCTGTCGTCCTTTGGGAGAGTAATGTGTTTCAGTCAATACACTAAACCTTTTTACTGGAATTTTAACAGACCTAAGTGCAAAAAAGTCTTGATCACTGATGAGATTATTAACTCTCTTGATATCTGCTACCTGTTAAAAAAGAATTGTTAAAGCAAGAGTCAGTGGAATTCAAAATCAAAAAAGAGGAAAAAGTTTCAAACAGTGACCTTCATTATTTCTCAAACTTTCTACTGAAAACAAAGAGAAGTCAAAGTTGTTCCTCTAATTTCTTACAGCATTTTGCCTCACCATCTTTGTATTTCTCCCAGAGCCTTGTACATGTCCTTTCCCTGATCCATTTGGATCGTAAGCTCCTTGAGAGCAGCATTTGTCCTATTTTGTTCATGTCTTCCCATCAACAAGGTACAGTGCTTTAAAAATTAGAGTCACTTAATAAACATTTGCTAAATGAACTAAATGTCAGTCTTATACGAAAACCTCTTCATTCTGGGGCCTAGGCTTTGTGGTCCATATATCTCAAGTGAAAGTCTGGTATCGTGGAAAGAGCACTGGCTTTGGTGTACAGAAAGGCATGGACCAAGCTAATGCTGCTAGCTGTGAGACCATATGGAAGTCACTGAACTTGTCTGAAAGTTTCCTCATCTGTAAAATAGAAATGATGCTTCTATTATCTACCCCATGTGACTGGTGTAAGGGAAACATTTTCTAAGCCCAAAGCACTAGTTTGGCCACATGGGCCTTTCCCTAACTGAACAAACCGGGACCTCCTCCTCAGTGACAAGCTTTAACAAGCCCCCTTTCATCAGATCAATTCCTCTTGCACACTTTAATTACCCACCAGACTCAGTAACTCACTAGCTCCTCCTCAGTATCTCTGGCACCTTTCAACTTGAACCTGAAACTCACTGCAGACTCTCTCTGTGGACTCTTTGCCTTCTTTTCCAGACTTGGATCACCTACAGAATTCACTATCTCTCCTGTTATACCCTAAGCTAATGGAGAAGTTTGTCACTTACAAGACCGTTAAAATATTACCATATCATGCTAACTTTTTCAACCAACCATTTAACACCAAAAAGAATTTTGGGTTAATATAAAAAAGTAGTTACTGGTTACTTTTTTTGATTGTGCACTCCATCAAAAATTTTTTTCCTAACATTCACCCCCCAATATGTATCTATTTACTCATACTACTACTTACACAACAATTAAAATTTTAAAAGGATGAGATAATATTCGATCTTTGAGGCAACAGGAGCCACTTGAGTTTAATGAGTAGGGGAGTGCTATGGTTTTAGGAAAGTCACTTGGCAGCTCTGAGGGTGGATTAGAGGGAAGAGACTTAAGGCAGCAAAGCTAATTAGTATGCCACAGTAATAGTCCAGGAGAAAGGTGATAGGTTTTGAATTAGGGTGGTGTCTGTGAGAGAAGGGAGAAAAGGGACAAAAGGCAAAATATGTTGTGGATGAAGAAATGGCAAGATTTCACATGGTGTTAAGGAGTGTAAGAAGCTGAAGATGACACCCAGGTTGCAATCCAGGGTAACTAGAAAGATGACGAGGCCTTCAACAGTAATAGGACATTTGATAAGGGGTGTGTTTTTGGGGAAAATTTATGTAAAGTGGTCTGCAGACTGAAACTCCCAAAGAATGAGCATTCTTGACCATTTTGTGTGATATACTGTCCCATTCAAAAAGGAAGGCCTCCAACTTCACAGGAGTGCTCTGCTAGGGCAGGGCTAAATATTCTGGGCAAGGGGGAGCTCACAAAGACCTGTACAATTACTGGTGTTGGTACCCAGGCGGTAGTTCAGGTATAACTATACTGAGGTACCAAGACTTATCTCAGCAGCACTGAGACTGGGAACTTGCAAAAACAGGAAGAAGAGAGTGGAATGGGTGAGTAGGGAGTATTACTGGGGTGGGGTGGGATAAGAGAAGATGTGATTATGCTACAGACAAGCCCCACAACTTGTGGGGAAGGTGATGTGCTACCCATCTTTGCATTCTCCTAATAGTTATTCATAATTCCTAGAGATCAGATTAGAGATCACTGATCTTTCTAATAATAGATAAAAATCAACTTTTCTACCCTAAGATTATTTTCTGCTAAGTCAATCAAATAACCAACAAGCATTTAGCAAGCATATCCTTTGTACCAGAAACAGTGCTAGGGATGTATGGAGAGTATAGTACAGAGGATGAACTAATAATCTTACTTACAAGGAACTTGCATCCAAATGGGAGATTATATATAAAGTACCTACAGCATAAAGTTAATAACTAAAAGTAAATGAAAAGTAGTTAAAATATAAGTTAGTTTGGGATAGATGACATTAGCAGTTGTGGTGGATCAGGAAAGCCTTCATGCAGAATATGGTGATGAGCCCATCTTAAAGACAGGGATTCTATAAGGTGGCTGTAGGGAGGGAGTGTATTCCAGGTCCATGGGATGGCCAGTACAAAGGCACAGAGATGAGAGATAAGAGTGTTGTACATGACGAACAGAGGGAAGACTAGTTTGGCTGGATCACAGGGTTCAAATATTCAATGAGGTTGAAAAGAAAGACTGGTGCAACATTCTGAGTTTTATCCTAGAGGCAATAGGAATCCTCTAGAGTGGATTAAGTAGGAGACTCACGTGGTCAGATCTGTGTTTCCAGAAGCATCATTTTGTAAAGTGTGTAGGATGGGTTGGAGAAGGGAGCCTAATTCAGAAGCCACTAAAATAGGCTAGGGAAGAGGTGATAAGCAACTAAACCAGGGGAGGGGCTATATGAATCATGAGAAGGGTTCAGACGTAAGAGACTGGAGGCAAAAATAGCAAGATCTGACAAAATGACTAGATATGTGGGGTGAGGGAGAGTGAGCAGTCCAGGATAATGAACCTGGAAGACTGGAAGGATGGTGGTGCCTTCAAAAGAAATAGGGAAGTCTGAAAGATGGGAGGCTGTCAGGGAAAGATAATCAGTTCTGTTTGGACATACTGAGCTTGAGATGTCTTTGAGATATCCAATTTGAAATTCTAATAGCCAATTTAGTGATCCAGGAATAAAGCTCAGGAGAGAAAATGGACAGGAGTCATCTGCATAAGGATGATAATTAAGCCAACTGGAGCTGATGAGGTTATTAAGAAAAAGTATAGAGGGAGAAGCCTTGGACAACTGGAGACATTGGTAGAGGTCATGACTGGATAAAGAGCCAGCAAAGTAGACTGAAAACAATCAGACACTTAGCAAAACCAGGATAAAATAATATCATAAAAGCCTTAAGAGGAGAAAATATTTAGGGGGAGAGAGTGGATCAGTAATGTCAACTACAGCTGATGAATCAAAAAGATGAGGACTGAGAAGAGGCCAACAGATTTGACAATTACTAGATCAGTGCTAACTTTTTAGAAAGCAATTCTGATTCAGTGATGAGGTCAGCAGCCAAACTACAAAAGGTTAAGGAGTGAAAGGATGGTTAAGTGGAGGAATGGAATAGAGAAAGTTGTTCAAGGAATTTGGCTGAGAAAGGGAGGAGAGAGATAGGAAGATGGTTTAAGGAGAAAGTAAGGTCTAGGGAAGTTTTTAAAAGGATGAGTAAGACTTGAGCACATTTGAAGGTAGTAGTGAAGGAACCAGTAGATGGGGAGAGGTTGAAGATTCTGGAGAGGGGATAATTAAGGATGCCACCTGCTGGAGAAGATGGGAGGGGACAGGATCAAGTGTATATTAAAAGGGATTGGACTAGGAAAGAAAAAGGGCTACCTTGTGTGGGAAAGGAGAAAATGAGAAATGAGATCAAGAGGATTTAAGAAAGGCACAAGGGAAAAGAGGAAACTCATATAAAATGGCCTCCATGCATACCGACACATAAAACTCTCTCAGGCTAGACAAATCATGTAGACTACATGTGACAAAAGGAGAGAGGCTCAACTTCTCTAAAGATGGTTTCATGTCATATTATGCCATCCCAATGGATGATAGTATCATTTCTCTGATATCTTCATACAAGAACCAGGTGATACTGTAGTCAATCCTCTCCATTTGAATACTGAATCAGTTCATACATTACTATGTTTACCGAGATAGATCTCCCACATTCATCCTTAATTCTATACTTTAGGTACTAGTTACTTCTCATCTGAAATGTTTCAAATGTCAATGTTGGACTCCCTAACTTCAACACACCTCTCATCTATATTTCATTCTATACCTCTTGTTAAAGTCCTATGATTTCCTGATGAATTTAATTTTTCACCTTTTCCAAAAAGCCCTTCATCAGTTTCAATTATATAATGGTCATTAATGACCACCAATCAAATTATAACCAATAGCTTTTAAAAGCAAAAACAACATAAAAGGTTCAAAGTAAGAACAGATTACTTTAATAACTGCAAATTTCATATTACTGTAGATTTTTATTGTTTAAATGTTTCTGTCGTGCTATTTCCATGTGCTTTTGTTACGATTATAAATGTGGCTTAAGAAACAGATTCATATAATTCTTCCTACAGTTACTGAAAAAACTGCTTTTGATAATGATAGACTATATTCTACCTTGCTCATATGATTATTATCTTGAAAAAGTGTAACTCCTAGGCAGACATGCTTATAAAATTATAGATCTAGAAGGGACCACAGAGGTCATTTAGTCCAATTCCTAAAAATAGTAGTTTTGAAGGAATGTTACTCATTCAAAAAATGATTTATTTATCGAGTTCCTATTCTATGCACAGCATCAAGTTAATTGCTCGAGGAAATACCTAACTTTTAAAGCCTGGGTCTGGCTTCATCTGAGTGGGAGCTCACTTTCTTTGTCAAAATGTACGTTAGGATCACATACATTCATATCTTAGGATGCACTTGTTTTTTTGTGTTTATAGCTGAACTTTGTAATATATTATCTTTGTAATGATACTTTGTTTAGGCTTTACATGGTAAAATTTAGAATGTAGAATCATAATGGTCATTATCTACATCACCACCATCAAAAAGACAGTAAAATTATACACACTGTTCCAAGCACTTGGGAGAGATAATCAGAGACATTTTCTATTCGTTATCTAAGATAGACACATTTACAGATATAAAAAGGGTTTTAGTATTCTAACAGGCACATATTTAGCCATCAATACTGAAATTTTAAATAAAGTCTATAATCTTTATAAGTCTATATATGGAAGCTTTCTGAGAATTTTACATATATATGTATGTGTGTATATACATATACACACACACATACGCACATATGTATGTTTTTTTTTCACTACAAAGAGAAGATGGGAAATACAGGAGAAAGGAGGAACAAGGTAAATGGAATTTCACTTTGCATTGTATATAATTTTTTTTTTGGACAATCAAAGAAAAAGGACTTACTGAACAACAATACTGAAGGGCTATTGCATTTAAAGTATCGCCTTCCTGTATATCTTTTGTTAGTAATACGATATCATCCAGTCTATCTCTTGATGTGCTTCTTCTGACTTTCTCTCTTCCTCTTGGTCGAAGTTCATACACTTCGGCATCCTCTTCAAAGATATCGGTGTCTGTATTATTTCCAAATGAATATATTTGGCTGCTCACCACAGACTGAGTTATTGGAAATTGAAAATTGCGAGTCTGATTCCTCCCTGCCATAACCTCAAACTCTACAGAAGAAAAGAGAAACCTTGTGAAAAAAAAAAATGGTTTGAGTCAAAACTTAAAGCAAAAACCTATCAGTTTTTCTACTTGCAGCTTATTTTCAAAGCAGTTAAAAATATCTTTATTATGTATATTATATATGTGTGTATATATATGAAATCTACATATAGACATAGATTTTCTAAGTCTTAAAAATAAATTTGGAGAATAAGAACTCTTCCCCAGTCCAATCATCCATCAACTGTAGTGTGCTTGGGGGAAAAATGTTTAAACAAGGACAAATCCCTAAGGAATAATTTTAAAGAACCTTCCCCTGAGAGGCTGGGAGGAGTTTGCCTTAGGTATGAGATAATTAGGTGTCTGTGTTGGCACTATATCTAAAGAAATGAAGTGCTGATGGTGATAAAACAGTTCCAGCAGTGTGAAGTATTTTAAATATATACTCTATGCCTGTGGCCTAGACTTCTGGTACTACCATACCCAAGTTCCTTAGTGTGTGAAAAGCATCTTTCAAATGTTTAAATACTCAATAAGAGGATATTCTTCTCACAATAGATCTTAATGTACAATAATAGCCTTATTATGAATCAGAACATTATTCTATTTGTCACTGTATTTTTAAGGGCTCTTACCTTCACCTCTTCAACTTGTAGGATAAAGTCTAATCAAATATGTTGTTTTTTTTTTTACACTAGGCCAACTAGTGTACTTCTTCTACACCAGTATTCTAGTGGCTCAAAATCAACAACATTGTATGTATGTCAAATATCATTGACTGATACCTGATCTCAGACAAAAACTAATGTGACTTTTACTTCCAGAATGTCAGCTAATAATAATAAAACAACTCTCTAAATTTGGGTTATACACATTGGAAAAAAAGAAAGTCCTACCAGGTATTAACATTCTGTATCGCAATTTAAGTTCTTTATTAAATGTTTCATGTGAGGAATATCATTCTTTACTCAGCTACTCCCTTCAAAAGAAAATTAATAGTTTTATAACTGAATTGAAAAAAACCTTAAGATAAAATTTTGGTTTGGTCAGTGTTCTTATTATTTACTAAAAAATAACCATGAATCATACAGTATGAGTCACACAGTATATAAGATACTACTAAAAATTAAAGTAGATAAAATGCTCAAAGTACAGCTAAACAAACAGCATACACACATCTCTATGCTGTTTTTTTTTTTTTGAGGTTTGCCGAAGATTTCAACTGAGGCGAACAATGTATATAATTAGTTTCCTAATGTATTTGAGAATGGATATTTACTTCTGAAAGTCTAAGGTTAGCTGAATTTACATTTATTTGACCCAAAGATATAAATTTTCCTTAAAATGGAAACTTATTTAGTTAAGTGTTATTAAAACTGGCCCAGTATTTTCCTGGCTCTGTAGAACACTCCCATTTCTGTAGTATATCTAAGTATAGAAGTTTATAAAGAAAAATTGCCCAAGTAATCTGAAAATCATTCCTTGATCAAACTTTCATGAGCACCTAGCTGAATTACTAGGATGAACTAATAATACACTGTTTTGTTAAATTCAAGTACTGTTTATGTGCTATATGGTGAAATCCTTATCACAATAACTAACTAACTAACTAACAACCTCACTATCCTATAGTTACCATTGTAAACAGAGATAAAACCGTATCAAATTACCTGGAGTTGACAGTGTATCTAGTTGAAAATGAAATTCTGGAATCTGGCCTTTGTAGATTATTTACTGAGCCAACTATTTAAAACAAATGTCTGCAGCATGGTAACAAGTCATCTGGTCAAAAAACAGAATTTAAAAAAAAAAAAGAAAGAAAAACCCCATCTCTTTTCTTTACAAAATCTCCACTGCCCACAGAGCATTTTTTTGATCTTTTAGGAAAACCCTACACTCCATAGAGATTTTGTAGATGGGCTACAGGTGGCTGCACCTGGTGGCGTTAGGAAGCCACCTACTCACTTAACAGTGGCGTATTGTCAGAATTAATTTCCAAAATACCCTGGCACTTCGCAAGAACTGTGGGTGCAACCCTCCGACCCAGCTTAACAAGGGTCCAATCAAAGGGGAGCCAGGGCACAAGCCCCAAGGTACCAGGGCTGTAACACCAGACTTGTTCCCCGGGGGGTGTGGGGGGTGTCATCTCGGGGGTCATCTCGTGCTCGTCCCCCTCCTGCCCATTCCCTCTTTATTTTGTTATCTCCTGTTCACCTGCTGGGACTTAGTCTGGGGTATGAGCTCATCCACTCCAAAGGGCTTGCGGTCTCATCGATGTGGACGGTCCCTCCAACGAGGCAGATCGCAATCCATCCACACCTGCCCGTCAGTGTCTAAGAACTGCTCACGATTTCTAAACGTCACACGGGTTGGCTTGAACAGGTGGCGAGATGAGAAATAGGGTAAATAATTTATTTCATGCCCACAAAATGCAGCCACCCTCATTCCCGGGGAGCCAGAGTTGGGGGATGCAGGGATCTGCTAGCCGCCCCTGCCCCAAGGACACGCCCGTACACCTGTAGCCAGGACCATGGAGGGGGTCCCCTGGGGACCGCAGCTCCTCTTCCTCTTCGGAAGCTGCAGAGGGAGCTCGGCTCGGGGCAGGGAGGGGGACTTCTCTCTCTTCCCGCCCCCACCGCCATCTTTACCTTCCCCTCCAGCATGGGGGAGGGCGGCTGCTGAGCTCGTTGCGGATCCCATCAAGTTCATGGCCAAGGCTCCCCAAGACCGTCTCCTCCTCCTCGTCCTTCCTCCCCCTCCGCCTCCGACCCCCCCCCGGCGGCGACCTTCCCCCTTTCCGCACGGACCAGCCCAGCTGCCTCCGTCGCCGCCACGTCCGCAAACCTGCTGTACGTCATTACGTCGAACCCGCGGAGGTGGGAAGGGGGCGGGGGGGGAAAGGGAGGGGGTGGAGAGGGCGGGAGGAGTGAGCCGGGGGTGGGGGCAGGGGATAAGAGAGATAGGGGTGGGAGAAGCGCAGGGGGCCTCTGGTGCGCACGCGCGATGTTGGCGTCTGGAACCTCCCTCCTTACAGCGCGCGGAAACGAAACTCCCCAGACCTAGAGATTTGTTCCTTAGCCTGGGAGCACCTGGGGTGGCGGGGCCGGGTTTGGAGCACGCGCGCAGTGCAGGGAAGAGGATGGTGCTTCTGCCTGCCCAGCGGGGTGAATGCGCGCGTGCGGGGGCTGGAATTGCCTCCTTCTGATATTAACATGCAGGCAGCCTGGGACTTGTCCAGTCAAACTTTAGCCACCTGCGCGAGGCAAACCAACCCACGGGTTACTAGCCCCCAGGATTATTGTTAGGGAAAGTGAGCCACCAAGAGTCCACACAGGGAAATGTGGACAACTGGCCTAGGCAGGATTCGCTATTAGGTCAGGGACAGAAAATAGATAACAGCAGTCCTGTTGCTTGGTGTCATGTTCCAATGCTTGGACATAGCCCAGGTGTGCAGAACTTGACATATGACAGTTTACTGGAATTTTGTAAGCAAGTCATTGCTCCATTAAAAAAAAAAAAGTATAGTTGCTGAGACTTTACATTAGGTTTTCTAAAGTATATAATCAACTGAGTACATTAATTCCAAAACTGTCCCATGTCTCCCTAATAATACCTCCAATAATATCTAACATTTACATAGCACTTACCATGTACTAGGCACTAGGCTAAGTGCTTTTAAAATCATTATCTCATTTGATTCTCACAACAACCCTAGGAAGTAGGTGCTATTATTAGCCCCATTTACAGCTGAGGAAACTGTGGCAAACCCAGGTTAAGTGACTTGCCCAAGGTTATAAAGCTAGTAAATGTCCGAAGTCATATTTGAAGTCAGGTCTTCCTAACTCTAAGCTCCATACCTTCTGACCTTCCCTTTGTTCTCTTCTGTGCATTTTAAGTGTTTTTATTGAATTTTTTCTTTTCTCTTCTGTCTTTTTCTGCACTGCTATCACTACTCCCTCCCCATCACTCTATGCCCTCCTTTTAATCAAATAAGAAGTCAAGCAAAACAAATCTACACATGGGGCATGGGTCCCATTCTGCATCTATAATTCATGAATAACTAGCTAGCATTTATACAGGTTTTAAATTTGCAAAGTGTTTCAAAATATTATCCCATTTAATTCTCACAATAACCCTGGGAAATAGGTTCAAGCTATAATTATCTCCATTTTACAGTTGAGGAAACTGAGGTAGACAGAGGTTAAGTGCCTTGCCAAGCTTGTAAATGTCTGGCTGGACTTGAACTCAATTCTTCCTGACTTCTTCATGTCCTTCCAATAATTGTGATTTTCCATTTTTTGTTCTTTGCCCATCTGATGAATATGAGATAAAACCGCGAGTTGTTTTAATTTGTATTTCTCTCATTACTACTGATTTGGACCGTTTTTTATGTATTTCCTGAGAACTGTGTGTTAATATGCTTTATCCAGTTATCTGTTGGGAAATAATCAACAGGTTTTTAATCAAGCACTACCATTTGCTAGGCATTTTGCTAGGCACTGGAAGTAGAAGAATGAGTGAAACAATCTCTATCTCTACTCAAATGCTTATATATTTCAATCAGGTGGTTCCTTATATATCCTGGGTATCACACTTTTATCAGAGAAACAACTGCAAAAAATTTTGTTCCAGTTAACTTTTGCTAATTTTAACTGCATTGATTTTGTTCGTGCAAAAACTTGTCAATTTTATATTTTTTAAAAAAAAAGGTAATCACAATTGACCATTATCTCTTTTGATCCTCTCTACTCATATTTGGAAAGAAGGAAACAAGCATTTATTAAGCATCTACTATGTGCAAGCCATTGTGTTAAACTCTTTATATATATAATCTCATTTAATCCTCACAACAACCATGGGGGATAGGTTTGAGCTATAATTATCCCTGTTTTACAGTTGAGGAAGCCAAGCAGACAGAAGTTAAGTGACTTCTCCAGCCAGTAAGCATCCAAGGCTAGATTTGAACTCACCTATTCCTGACTCCAGCACTCTATTCACTGTGCCACCCAGGCAGTAAAGAATTCTTTCCCTAACTAGAGATGTAACAGGTACCACCTTCCTTTTTCCTCTAATTTGTTTCTGATGTCACCTTTTATATTTAGGGCATGTGTAGATTTGGAGCTTATTGTGGAAATGGTTTGAAATGTTAGGATAACTTTGCTTTCCAATTTTCTCAGTAGTTTTTGTGAAATTATTGGGGTTTTGAATACTGTGCTTATATGTCAATTTTCTGGATCACGTATACCTAATCTGTTCCACTGATCAGCATTTCTATTTTTTAACCAGTACTAGATAGTTTTTGATGACTATAGGTTTATAATGTGGTTTGAGATCAAGAACTACTAGGCCCTTTTCCTTTCCATTTATTTCCTTTGAGATTCTTGACTTTTATTCTTCCAGATGAGTTTTGCTATTATCTTTCTAGTTCTATAAAGTAACTCTTTGGTAGTTTTATGAAGCACTGATTGAGTAAATTCATTTAGGTAATATTGTTATTTTTATTAAATTGGCATGCTCCAATCATGAACAATACTCTTTATCCAAATAACTGTCTTTATTTCTATAAAAAGTGTTTTGTAGTTTCATTCAAATAATTCCTATGTATTTCTGGGTAGGTGGATTTTGGAATGTTTTTTTCTTATTTTGTTATTATTTTGAATGTAATTTCTCTTCCTGTTGGGTTTGTTGATAATATGTAGAAAGGTTAATGGCTTGTGTGGATTAATCCCACTAATTTGCTAATGGTGAACTTTACATTTTTTAGTTGAATCTCTAAGGTTCTCTAAGTAGACTATCATATCATATGCAAAAAGTTATAATTTTGTTTTCTGTTTGCCCATGCTTATTTCTTCTAGTTCTTTTTCTCTTTTAATACTATAGCTAACATTTCTAGATCTATTTAAAATATAGTAGTGATAATGGACATCCTTGCTTTATACCTGTTCTTATTGGAAGGACCTCCAATGTTTCTCCATTTTAGATAATACTGGCTCTTAGTTTTATATTAATATTATGTAACACTGAGGAAAGTTCCATATTCCTATGTTTTTTAATGTTTTAAAAATATGAGGCTGTGGTATTTTTCAAAAGTATTTTCTTCTATTGACATTCAGGTGGCTTTTGTTATTTTTGTTATTAAGATAGTCTATTACATTTATATTTTTGTTAGTATTGAACCAGCCCTTCATTCTTGATATAAATTCAACTTCGTCATACTGTATAATCTTTTTACTATGTTTCTATAGTCTCTTCTTGAATAATGTATTTAACATTTTTACTGATGCTCAATAGGAATATTAGTCTACAGTTTTCTTTCCTTGCTTTGTCCCCAAGTCTAGTAATGGACTTGCTTTGTGATCAGGTGACTTTTTGAGCCATTTCATCAAATTTGCCATATACTTATGGCAAAGTGTTTGATCTCTGAAAAGTCCAGTGGAGAGATGGGTGGTTTTTGGCCAAATCTTCTGTCTTCCCAAGATAAATATGAACATGATGCTTTGAGAATTATATTCTTTAAGTCATCCAGATGATTTAAAAAAATTTCAATTGACTAAAGACTTTCAAAGTTATTTTGGCATCATTTTAGCTTCTTTTTAGGGGGCTTGTTATTTCTAAAAGCAAATGGTGCAGGAAAAGTTGGGACAATTAGATCCACATTGTAATATTTTTCTGTAAGTGGACGTGAGCTATGCCCCATTAGGTTAAAAAAGGAATGCTAGAGCAGCAGTTTAAAAAAAATAGTCCTGCTCGAGCTGTGTTCTTGCCCTTATGACACCCTGTCTGTAACCATTTATCACAGAGACATTTTCTCATCAATAGACAAAGGGTATATTCCCAACTTGATGTGTAGGGCTTTAGCTGTAGAACTCTCATGAATGCTAATGGGGATACAACCTTCATTCTGCATATAGGTTACTTCCCTTATTTTAATGTCAGTGAGCAGCAGGGCCCCTGTTAGAGTCTAAGTGATAGAATTTGAAGCATTGCCACAGGAATGCAACTGTTTTCTTTTATATGAAACTTTCTTCATAACGTGTGTATATTATTAAATCATTATAACTCATATTTAAAGAAGCTACAGTTATTGAGCTTTCATTAGGTCTCCAGTATACTGTTACATTTGGTTATTGGAATATACAAAGAACTCAGTTATCCATGAATTTTGGCCAAGTTCCAGAAATTGGACCAGTAGGAACAAGTGCTTTCTCTTACAAAAAAAAGAGGGTATCCTCAGATCTCAGAAAAACAGGATTTTAGTTTTTTGAGGTCCAGTCTGAAACATTATATTTATACATTGAAATTTCTACAGAAATGAAAATGTGAATTCTATGAAAACATTTTATTGTTCCTGATATTTTTAAAGGCACTATACATGGAAGGATTTGTAATTTCTGGCAATGTTCTTAAATGTTCTTTATTTTATAAAGGTTTAAGAGTTGAAAAAGAATAAGAATTCTGTTCTTAATAATGGCACAAAACCCACAATTCACAGTCTAATTTGGAAAATAGTTTTTAAAAAATATTATCACTGAAAATGGTTCAATTTGTGTTTAAAATGTGCATTGTCCTCACAATTGTCGGTGCTGTCTCTTAAACATTCCCAAATCTGCCAACTCTCCTTCTTTTCTCCCTTCTTTCCTTCCTTCCTTTCTTCCTTTCTTCCTTCCTTCCTTCCTTCCTTCAATCTGAAACACTTATTAGCATAAATGCTTAAGGACTTAAAGGAGCTAGTCCCTGCCCTCAAGGAGT